GTAAGTCTAATACAGTACTGTAATTTTATACATTTCTTGTGAAAGAAACATTTCTTATTCAACGGCGATTAAAATTATTTATATTAATGATGTCTCCGAAGTTCAACGAAGTTTTCGCAGAAAAATAAGTTGTTAGAAATCGGTTGCTATTTGCTGAGCTGTTCCGCGACGAAAACAAGCTCTAGCAATGGCGATGTCGAATGGTGCACACTCGGGAAGTAATCCTACAATTTTTTGTTTATAGCGTAGTTTATACGGATTATTTCCAAAAAATATATACGTATTTTGGAAATGTTAAGTCGGGATAGTCTAGAATCAATTAATTTAATGGAAGAAAACCTTTCAATCAGCCGTTGTCCGTAAACTTCACACGTATCGGGCTGTGATTGAAAGGACTCGTAAGAAATCAAATTCCTAAAGAATGGAACGTATCTATGATCTTATAGGGGGGTCGACTGTATTGAATTCCAGAGCAATGTAAACTGGATATTATAAGTAATACAGTTATAGCTTGTATATCGTAGCTTCTGGACATATATCTGATGCTTCCACACATGGCATTCTTTTCTATCATAATAAACGATAGAATGAATAGTGAAATGAGCCAGAAAAACACTTCAATTATGTACATAAATGTAACATTATAGTATTATTCAAGTATTTTTTTAATTCGGCACAGTGTCACGACCTCGTCGAATTTAGAGCAAACACTTTGATTAGAGTTTATAGTCGTTTCAATTTGAAAGACACTGTTCAATGACTGTAACTAATTAGTTCTTCGTGCAATTCTTTAGTATTAATCGTAAACAAAGTAAAATTTTTCAAACTCGAAATACCATTATTTTTAATAAGCTTTTGGCCTAGCAAAAAATGAAAATTTCCAAATGATATTTGCGTTTTATTAAAGGACTAATGAGATGGCAACTTACGTTTTTAAAACTTCTTTACGTGTACAACGCTAAATTTCATTTTCTCGTAAATTTTCTATTTTTGTTAATTTTTCAACGTTTATTGTTTCCTTTTATATGTTGTAGTAGGCACATACAACACAACTTTGTAGAATTAAAAAATAGCTATTGAAGCTTAGTTGAAATGTTCAAAGGAAATTTACTCAAAATAGCATACATTTTACCGAATTTATATTATGTACAATTCTTTGTTTAATGTTTTAATAACGTTGCTTCAGGGTGTTCAATATTAACAACGTATATTTATGTTCTATGTTTAAAAAAAATTAATATTTTACAAGAATCCAGCACTGTAAAATCTTTAAATTAGTTTAGAAGTTGCATATTTATATATACAGAGCAGTTTGCAATGATACAAAATTTACAGTACAGCAACATTTGCACTAATTTGGCTCGTTAACATTTTAATAAGTTAATATTTAAAAAAAATACTAAAAAATTCCGTAATCGCGTATTTTTGTCAATTCGTCTCAACACTCATTCATGAGTGAAAGATAAACGAATTTCTATTGTATTTTAATAACGTTTGGTTTTCATTTATATTAAGTTAAACAGATTGTATGAGCATTGCAATAATGTCATTCATTATTTTTAACTGTCATAGAAGAGTATCTTTGAAATAAATTTAATACCATACTGTACAAAGATTATTGAAAATATAGTCCTACCCGAAGTATTTTTCATTCTATAATTCATATAAAATATGTTAGATTGCATTGTAATTATATACATACAACAAATATTATTCGAAATAAAATTTCACTAAAAATAGTAACATTTCAAAAATTAATTTACCTAGTGTAGATGGAAAAAGTTTATACGTTAAACACCTTTTCATCGAATAACAAAAACCGGATTACTTGTAATTAAATATAATTACACAAAGTAATCTTTATAACATAGAAATATATATAAAAATAATATTTTCAATTACATTTCTGGTTATTCAAAATTAAAACACAGCTCTTGTTTATGCAAATTATGTTAAATAACTGAAGTATGTCTGTTTGTAAGTGTTGGAAAACAAAGGAAATTGTTCGTATCAATCGAAAGGAATTGAAAGTAAAAATACGACTGATCTTATTGTGTAAGTATCTCAGATATTTTAAAATTAGAATATCTTTTATAATTAAAACTTTGTATTGTTTTAAGTAAAATCACAATTATTAAATGAAGAGCATCTTACACGACAGATTAGAAAAACCAGATTTAAACGTCAGACATAGCCTACATTTTTTATTACTTGTCTAGATATTAAGTATTGATTCGATATCAATTATGTAAACGTAGATTTATTATATACAATGCTAATTCCTGAATTTAGATAAATACAGTTTGAAGCAATGCCTGATCAGAATTCTTATTTCAAATTTATTATTAGCCACTTTTTGCTCTGTTGATACAATAATGTAGATAATTACATTTTAAGAAGTTGTATTTTACGTTAATTAAGAAATAATTTAAATAATTTCATTACATGCTAATTTCATTTAAATATTATAGTAATTCTCATTAATGTATAATTTTCTGTATGAAGTAATACACCAATATCTACAAACTAAATTTTAAAATGAATATAAAGTAATTATGGTAAGAATCGAAATGGCAGCAGTTTGAGATTATATCGGGTGGGCAAAAAGAAACTTTTCCATGTAAATATGAAATAACATTTTTACTTTTAATTATTTTATAACTTACTTTCTAACATTTTAATGTACACATATTAAAGATTTTTTGCTTAAACATTAAAGATAACAACTTTGAAATAACTCCTGTGTTCCTCTTCACAACAGCAAACTCTTTCTATTTTAAAGTTACTTCTGTCCCACTCTTTACTACAACATAATAAGCGTCTGCTTTGAAATTTACTTTTATACACAAATAAACGAAATAATTGAATATGAGGATTATTATATGTTTATACTTGAAAAATATATGCTGATGTAAGCAATTGTCAACATGATAAATTGTATGCTAAAACGTATAAATTAGTATGTGTAGTTATTAACTGTAATTTAAGAAAAATTGCAATATAGCTCTAAAATGCAGTTTTTCCTTTGTAGGTGTTGATAGACGTAGATAGTACAATGACCTACGAATGCACTATTTGTGATAAGTCGTACGCTACTAAACATGGTTTAAGGTGTCATATCAGAAACCACACTGAAGAGAAACCTTACAAATGTAAAAGATGTAATAAATCTTTTGTTGATTTGAGCACTTGGAATCGTCATCTCAGAATCCACACGGGAGAAAAACCATACCAATGTGAAACATGTGCTAAACGTTTTGCTCAATTGAGCACTTTAAATCGTCATCTCAGAACTCACACGGGAGAGAAACCATACGAATGTCAAACTTGTAATCAACGTTTTGCTCAATTGGGCACTCTGAATAATCATATCAGAACCCATACAGGAGAAAAACCATACAAATGCATAACATGTGATAAATCTTTTGCTCAATCTTCCAGTTTGAATATCCATCTCCGAACTCACACAGGAGAAAAACCATACAAATGCATGACATGTAATAAATGTTTTGCTAATTTGAGTAATTTGAATAGACATATCGAAATCCACATGGCATAAAAAACGTTAGAATATGTAATAAACGTTTCGATAACGCATCGTGTTTAACTTATCATCATAGATTATACAGTGGAGAAAAATTCTACGAATGTAAAATATGTAATAAATGTTTTCCTTTTAAATGGATATTAGATTGTCATTGCAGATGACATCATAGGGAAATACTAAACAACTGAAATATTCGATAAAATCATCTCCCTCAGAATAAAAGGAAGTGACAATAAAACAACTTATTTAAATCTATTTCTCAGCATTTATGTTAGCAGCAATCGTCGTTTCGAAAATCAAAATAATTTAATTCAGCATCTTCCCACTTATTCTTAATTACAGAGCATTAATTTTTTCTTGTGTGTAATAGTCAATTTCCAACTGAACCTTACCTGGATGCCCATCATATAATGCACGATCTATACTCATTTAATTGCATTGTTTTCAACTGTTCTGCAACCATAAGGCTTTAAAAAAACACAAAACAAAACACAATTCATCAGTCAATTCGACTTACCATTGCAATAAATGTAGGGTAACATTTGCTTGGGAAAAAAATTATGAATTTCATTTTGAATATAATATTAATTTTGTATAAAAAATTTCGATTGAAAATATGCCAACAAAAATTTTATTCATAATTTTAAGTATTTTAAAGTGATTATAAAATAAAGTTTATTGTGAAGATAATTTCTTACATTTGTTTTTATTTAATACATTTTAATTAAATTTAGTGATAGGATGAAGTAGTATTCCATTAATTAGATAACATATTTAATTTGGTTACTTAGTAATAGCTTTAGTGTACAGAATATTTATTAATTAATCAAAAGTTTTTGGTTGGTGCAGCATGTCGTTCTTCAGGTTTCAATTATTAGAAACGTCGAGGCCGAGGATTTAAACAGGAAAACATGTACATCGGATGTTCAGCGCTGCTTTTTTTGTAAGTATAGAAGTTTGACAATGGTGTTTGAAATGTCGAGCATCATTCCACTGACTATCCAAACACCATTGTCACACTTCTTGGCTTATAGCAAAGCGGCACTGAACGTCCAACGTACACTTTTCGCGTTTAAAACTTCGGCCTCAACCTCGCTATTAACTGATTAAAAAAGAAGAAATTGAATTTATGCGAGTTTAATATTAAAAAATTACAAATTTTTAGTACTATCTCAAACAATAAGTAAGTAAAATATAATTTAAATACAAATTGATTTGGAGTTAAAAACAATGTCAGTTTCCCTCAGTCGGTGTCAAACGCAATGGGTTTTCTTTCCTGTAGCTGGAGCAGATTCGAGCCGAGATAATTTGATTGATTCATTGCTGTAGATTTTCTTAATATTTTTTGGCATTTTTGGTGCGAGCTATTGTGCAACTTCCGTTCATTATTCGTTCGCGTATTATTTTGAATTTGCCAACGTTTTCTGCTCAGGTAAGTCCTGGAATTTCATGAAAGAGTGGCATAAACTGGGTAAAATTTTGGAAGACAATTCATGCATAACTGCAATGATAATTCGATTTTCCATTCATAAGTGGATGGAGAACTATTTGAGATCTAATATTTTCAATTTGGAATTTATGTCGACCACGCTGTAGAATTTTACTGAGTCCACAGCAATTAATAAAAGCAAAAGGATTCTTAGATGTAACGAGAAGACGTGAAAAACAAAATATTTTTTAATATTTTTATACAGCGCAAATATGTGAAGAATTTGAATATTTAATACAACCATCTCAGACATTTCCATTATCCTGACAAAGAAAAAGTAAAAATAAGATTATGTGAAGATAATCGGACGATTAAGAAAAAATATGCAAATTCAGCAGTGGCTGAACACTGTCACATAGAAGGTTTCGAATTGTACTTAGGCCAGGAACACACATGGCGTAAATTTGGCATAAAACGTCTTCAAAACTTTTAACTGAAACGTATCTGAAACAAGAGTAAAGCACGTCTCTACTTTTCACGCCAAAATTCCTCTAATAAAAAAAAGTCTTTTTTTGTGACGTCAAAGTATACACGTGGTTTTTATTTTAACAATGGCGGTAATGAGGGTTAACCGTACAATTATTACGGTTTCTAAAATGCGAAAAATCATTGAAATAGAAAAGTTCATCAAATACGTTTGTCCCCATCACTGTCTCCATGACAAAAAAATTAGAAAATTAAGCTTTGTTTAAATACTGGCTCCCTTTCATGGTCGAATGAGTGTTGCCAGCTAAAACACGTAAAAATTTTATTAAAGTAGCCAAGACATAGCCAAATATTGAGCGCTACATCACTAGCGGACATTTGAAATTTGCCGACTAGGACGGTCGGTTAACCGAGGGGTCGGTTGATCGGGGATCGGATAATCGAGGTTCTACTGTATACATTATTTTAATTCTGTTTTGTAACATATTTTATGTAATATTTTTAAAAATTGTATTTTTTTATTTAACTGATGAGGGGCTTTACGCCCGTAACGTGCTGTTGTCACGTATCAACGAAAATGATGGAAATAAAGCCGAGTGTTTATTTACAACTCAAATGTAATTTCGAAGTCCAATGAATTCGCAAAACACGGTTTTAAAAACAACATATATAATATTTTTATTAATCAGTTATTTAACTTACAGGCATTTGCGATCTCTTATGTATCATGCATCAGGGATAGTGTGAACCGCCGGGGAGGGTGCAGGTCTCCCGATCCGGCAACAGGTTGTTAAACCTTCTCACTGTCAGGATAGATAAAATTTTTCTTTTTTTCTCCAGTTTTACGGGATTAAATGTTTCGGGTCGAGTGGCGGAGGGAGAAGTGCATCGGTAAGATGACAAGCGATATACGAGCAAACGAGGAGGCAAAATTTAACAAAAACAACGATTTATTAGCTACATGGATATTACAAAAACAAATGTCAAGGAAATTTTAGGAGTCCCTAAACCGCGAAGGGCCGAGAGAGAGTTCACAAAAACATGTTTCATACCTGCTTGTGTTTTCTTTTCTTATCCTGGAGAAAAATTGATTTCGATATCCTGGTGAACTGAATTTTTAGGACACAATTTTAAAAATTATAGGATATATTAGTTCATAGGAAACTTTGAGGAAACTTTTGGTTGGCGACTGATGAACGATTCTCTTGAGAAGGGAAAAGAAGGGTTTTTTTTAAGTTTGTCGTGGGAGAACGGTCACGTGACCGATTGTTGTGAGGTAAAAGGTACGCGGATGGGTTGAAGTTGTCCCCGGGACTATGATAACTATCAACTTAGCAGTTGGAATGTGGGATTAGTTTCGAAATGAACGGATGTTTACTTCAACAGGAAATAAATTTTTTTCCGTTTGGTTTCACTTTAACTTAAAGGAAAATTTAATTAAATTTTTATACAAATACGGGACAATTAATCAGCAAATAATCGGTAAAAATTCCGGATTTCACAATAGCATTTGCATAAACGAATGTATGTTAGTTGTGTGTAGATTTCTGTACGAAACGAGTTAGAAATAAATACAAAAATAGGAAAGGAAAAACGGAAATATGTAGAAAAAACAATGCAGAAACCTGGCAGCAGCTGTTTACATCTATAAAGGCGCGTCAAACACTGATGTCACAACAAAATGCAATATTGAAAAAATACATGAAAGTTATAAAATAATCTGACTGCTTTGATAATCCGTCATTACTGCTGTCATAATTGCCAGATTAATAAACTTGTAATGTCCCGTTAAAATATGTGATCGCGATTCAAAAATCGTACAAATATAAACAATTCAAATTTTTTATTGGAAAGAATCAATTATTTTAAATGTAAAGAGCAGTAATTACTTTTTCACACATTAAAAGATACATTGCCATCATTAGTAATACGGTACTTAAAGTGTATTTTCGACTTTGTACTTTTTCTATGTTGTAGTTTATTTTCTAGAGTCTATTATATAGAGAAAAAATTTTTAAAGTATAAAGTATCAAATCAATTTTTTAAAACAGATTGCGGCAGACATATTGAACTCGAAAACGTCTACGTCGGACGTTCAGCGTCGCTTTCCTGTAAGCCTAGAAGTTTGACATTGGCGTTCAAGACGTCAGTGGAATCAGGCTCGACGTTCAAATGCTATTGTCAAACTTGTAGCCTTATAGGAAGGCAGCGTTGAACGTCAAACGTTTCGCGTTGAAATCGTCATCCGCAATCTATTATTAGTTTTTCGTTCACCCACTTTTAGGAATGTAGTCATAAATTAAAAAGTTTGAGGACTCTAACATTTCTTCTGAGTTGTAATCACTATGGTGTGTGAAGTTTTTTGTAAGCAAAGTGCAAATTCCTAGTCCAATATCTTCAAAATGACTTAAATGTGCGGTAAATATTTTACTGTATACATACGTGATCAGCGCAAATTAAAAACTATTGTAAAAAATAGTTTTCTTAGTTTTCTGCCCGAGAAACATAGTTTCATATCAAATTTTGGTATGCTGAAATTCGTCATTAACTTCCACCTTAGGAGAAATATACACGACTCCCTTTATCTTCTTGCCTTTGAACTTTACTCCTAACAATTTAATAACATCTATGCTTTCAACAAACAAACATCTGTGCAAAAGTTCAGAAATTTCCGACAAAAATCAATGGTGCTATTAAGTTTCAAAGAAAGTGAACAAAATCGTGTAACAGACACTAACATTTAAACAGAAGCGCCGCTAGCTGTTTGAACGCCCGTGTGCAATACCGATTATGCCGCCCCATGTTTAACTAGGACAACCTACGCTGAGCTTGCCAGAAAAACTCTTTAGTGTTGTCTCATAAGAGTGTGAAAAAAGAAAAAAATACTTTATAAAGAAAAACTATTTATTTTATTACTATCTATAAATTATTTTTGTTTACTTACGTGTAAAACCATATAAATATTTATCTACAGAAATTTAACNTATTCCAAAAGAAAAAAATTTAAAACAATATACTAAACAAACCGAAAATCGAATTTTTCCTTTAACAAATAAAAGATTTTTACAAGAAGTGTTTTGTCCAAAAGAGTTGCTCTATTATTCTTCAGACCTAACATGTTGTGCATCTAGAAAATAATAAATAAAGAACTATTAAATTTTAAGCATTAAGTTGTATTTTATACGTTTCAGTGCCGACAGAGTGAATAAGTGAAAAGGAAACTTATAATACATATGTGTATAACGTGCAAAAGGAAACAATACCCATACAACAGTAATAACTGTTGTAATGCGTATTGTTTCCTTTTGCACGTTATACACATATGTATTATAAGTTTCCTTTTCACACATTTACTCTGTCAGCACTGAAACAACCTTTACTAACTGGCCCATCAGTTGTTCAACTAGGTACACGATGATTCTGATCCGTTTGTAGAGATTTCTCAGATTATTAAAAATGCGATATAGATGAATTGTGTACCTATTTAATCTGTAACTTATTAAATATATTTTAACTAACAATTATTACGAATTTACTTACATATGCTACAGTTATATTTATAGTAAGGTTCTTCTGTATCTTTGTTTCGTACTTTAGTTTATATGGATAAGATTCACAACTTTCTAGATTCAAACACTGAAACAGAAGTTCAGAATTACACGAGATACAGTCGATCCCCCTATAACACTGTTGATTTTTCCGTTTTATATGAATTCCATGTTGTACGAGTCACTTAGATTTTACAAATAATGAGCCGTTCAGAGCCCGGCACACGTATTTGTAAAATCTAAGTGACTCGTACAACATGGAATTCACATAAAACGAAAAAAATCAACAGTGTTTATAGGGGGGTCGACTTGTAATTTTAAATTACAAATGCGATGGTACTTACGATTTTCAACGTTTTGTCTTTAACTTGAACAACAGAATAAGCGTTTATTCGAGTGTCAACAGGATGCATCTGAGACCAGAATGGTGGTGTATATTGTAATGTGATCCTTACTGTTCCGAAGTATTTTGTTCTCCATTCGTTCCGACAAGATACACGAGTAAACACCCCTTTTTGATTTAGTAGGTACGGTATATCTCCTGAAAATAATCGTTTTGATATATTATTGAAAATCCAGTAGCGCAATTAATGCTATTCATGTATGAATTTATACTCACTGAATAGTGTCTCATTACATACATATGTGAAAGACACGTATGATAATATAATATTCATTGTATTTACATCTGAAAAAGAATAAACAATTTTTATGTATTAG